CCTTCTTCTATGAGGTACAACATTGTCTTTCTTGTAACTTAAGTTTTATGAATAAAAGTCAAGTGGGTCGGCTAGGAGAGGGTGACTTTCACTTTTCTCTCTTCTAGTCTGGCCAAACATTCTTCTCCTTCTTTCTCTTTTCTTTCTTCTTCCTTCTTCTCTGCTTTAACCTAGAATGAACTAGGGTTTATTCACAGTTTCTTCCACAAAACCTTGCTTATGCAGTTGGTAATGCCTGGTAGTCTTTGTAGTAGTTGAAATAATGAAAGATAACTATCAAAACTAGATAAAATACAAAGGACTAAACATAGGAAGAAAACTTAAAGTTTAAACCATACAAGTTTCATTAGACCCAAAAAAGATTACTCTAAATAATGTTATAATAAAAGAAAGAGGAAACTGGAAAAGATGGTTAATTCAGTATAATTAAAGCAGCTAGGCAATAGCTAGGAGCTTTGGCCTGGTAAGGTGAGTCAATGCCCAGGTGACAATCAGGTGATGCCTAGGCAGCAAATATGATATAACTATATATTATGGAATTTGAGTTGATTTTATATAATGCCAAAATTTTTAAATAATCTGCATACATACAAAAGAGTTAAGAGAACCAACTATTAGATCTACATGCACTCCTATTGATTGAAAATGGGTTATACATATTCATATCAACGTACAAAGAGGGCATAATTAGTTATTTGCCGCCACTAAGATGCTTATATTTATACTGCTTGCCTGGTCCATTGCCTAGGCGATCACCTAGACAATGCTTTAACCACATGAATGAAATTTAAAGAATATCCTGAGGTGCTTCACAAATGATAGCTAATGAAGTTGAAATTTCAAATATTATTTGAAACTCAAAAGCAAGACTAGGAACAACAAAAAAAATATGTAAAGATAAAACTTACATAACAAGCAAATGAACAGACCAGACAAGAGACACACACAAACATATACTTCATATGGATACTTATTGCACAAGGGAAAGCAACTGAGGTAGTAATATGAAAAAGACCAAGGGGTCCGCACGCCCGTGAAAGTGATCCGATGTGAAGTGAACGTCGTGATAAGAATAGAGAAAAAAATGATTATTCGGTGATCTCTATACAGACTACAAATTGATGCAGATTATTAGAATTGGATGACTCGGCTTTACATCGTTTTCCATTTATACATTGATTTATTCTTTCGGGTACCAAATTGGATTCAAAGGCGCAGTCGTGCATGGTTGATGTATCAACCATACGAGATACGAGATACGGCACAGAGAGAGAGAAAAAAAGATGAAATCCAGAATACATCTTACTTGCTAGTTATGTTTCCTAATAATCTGAATTTTTGAGGAGGTAAAAGCACAACTTGATGTTGATCTACGATATCTTCACCAAGTAAAGGTGAAAATGAATTTAAAATAAAACGAAGATAGTAAGAGAAGCTCAGAATCGCTTCTAATATACAAACTATAACGAGAACCTAAATACAAAGGCTCAGTTTGGGAAGATTACAAATATGTACAAAGTAGATACAAGGTTTAAAAATATAGGCTCAGTTGGGAAATAATGCGAATGCAAACATCTACGGTGCAAATACATACAACATGATACAAAATACAAGGTTTTGCACTCTACATTACTCCTGCCAAACTGAACGATAGTATAAAAAATTTTGTATTGTACATATTTGTATTCTTCCCAAACTGAGCCAAAGGAAACTGCAATAGAGAACGTTTTCAAGCAAGGACATGCTGCAAGGAAACAACCAAGTGATTGCAGCATTGAAGCAGAAAACAAATAAACTAGCAATGATGGCGACCTTAATGTCACTAATTTCACCAAATTAAAGACAATCATTATTAGAAAATTGAAAAAAAAAAAAAAAAGATAAAGGCGGATTCGAACCTGAAGCCATAATGAAGGCTTCGAGGTAATCGTTGTCGCGTTCTTTGTCATTATTATTGGATTCCCCACCAAAACTTCGACGAGAAGCCTTGCACTAAATGATAAACGATTTGGTTCCGTGAGATTTTCTGATCTGGAAGCCTAATTGAAACGATGAATGAGATGACAAGCAACTCAGCGAATTCGACACAGAACGACTTGCATTCGCTTGAGCCATTGGAAAAGCTCCCATGCAGGAGGTCGTACGGACGCGTAATTGGTTTCCGATCACTCTTCTTTTTATTCCTCCCTTCCGACGAAATGAAATCGAAGACAGGATCTCTCTAAGAATGAAGACCCACAGAGGATTGGTAAAAACTAAAATGTAGTCAAGTAATCGTTGAAATGAACGGAAAAAATTGTCAACTGATTCCAGCGTTTTATAGGTAGACGGGATTTCCCGAAAGCAAATAAACGTGCGAACACTGTGAAACGAGAGCACCCGTACGGGAGATATACCCAATGTGCGGCTGGATGCGATGCTCTGAGAGTGGGTAAGAACTGCTGGTTTTAAAATCCCGTCCTAACAAAACCGCTATACCTTTCCCTCTCGGCTCTTGCTCACCGATTTGTTCTCAGTTACCTTCTTCGTCACGAGGGTTCTGACTTTGGATTGGCTCAAATTTCTTCCGGTATAATACCATTACGGCACGGTAGGTATTAGGCAAATAAAATATCTTCTTGTCCGATATCACATCTGCGCCAAGGGCGCGCCCACATTCACATCTCAGCGTGTATTGCGAACATCTCTCAAAGTTGTCTGTGCGAGATGTTCTCAATGTTGAGATATGCTGCGGGACGGATATGTGAATTCCTCTTATCTACGTCAAATATGAATTGATAATCTTATATATATAGATTATAAGATATGTGAATTGCTCTCTCCGTTTCCTATTAATAAATATATATAAGATAATTAGATATATATAATTATATAAATATTGTTAGATATATATAATTATATAAATATATAATAGGTATTATAAATATTGTTAATAACTATATATCGAATCGTTCGAATGGTTTTGATCATTTTTTTATTTCTTTTTTAATTTTTTATTTTTTTGTCAGAATGGTTGGACCGTTCGACCCGGTAACCAGACCCCTGACTAGTTCGGTCTTAGGGTCATTTTAAAACTATATAAATATTGTTATATATATATATAATTATATTGTTAGATAATTAGATATATATATATATAATTATCTAATTATATAAATATATAATAGTTATTATAAATATTGTTAATAACTAGATACCGAACCGTTCGAACGGTTTTGACCCTTTTTTTTAATTTTAAATTTTAAATTTTTTTTGTTAGAACGGGCCGACCGTTGATCATTCGACCGGTAACCGGACCCCTTACCGGTTCGGTTTTAAAAACCATGATGTTATGTCATTCGAGCGTGTGACTCATGCCCCAAAAATGGAACCATTCTGGCCACCGGGTTTCGGGTCGATGGTTCGACTGTCTGATTCGAACGGACGGCCCATTCTAACAACAAAAATAAAAAAAAAAATGGCCAAAAACCATTGAACGGGTTGATGGTTCGACCACTCGGGTCAATGGGTCATTGATCGATTCAACGGTTTCTTGCCAGGGACCGGGATTGGGGTAAAACACGAACTGGTTGCCTGGACGGTTCCCAATTAAAAATATAAAAAATGGATGACCCGTTCTGACAACAAAAATTACAAACAAAAAATTGAGTGTGTGAGGTCCATTAAGATATACCATACGTGTTATGTCATTCGAACATGTGACTCATACGACCTAAAAACAGAACCATTATGGCCACTGGTTTGACTACTCGATTCGAATGGATGGCCCGTTTTAACAACAAAAATTAAAAAAAAAAACGATCAAAAACTATTGAATGGGTCAACAGATCCTAAGTCGAGAGAGGGTTTTGTAAATTGAGTCCAAAAGTTGTGTTTAATTTTCTATTAACAAACAAAGTTACAACAACAAGTATTAAAAATTTCAATTATTTAATTGAAATATATAAAAATTATATAAATTATTAATTATACTTTACATAAAATTCAAACCATTATTAAATTCAATACATAATACATAAGTTGATATGCCTTATAATAATAATTTAATGGTTTTAGAGAATTTTAATTATAAATATTAAGAATATTTTAGTAAATTCAGTATATGAGTCATGTTTAGTTTAATGCTGTACCCTACCTAAACCGTTTTAAAATCCCAAAACTCATCTTTGCTCCAAAATCTTTTTTTTTCCTAAAAAAAACTGCGTCATCAAAGAGTGTAGGGGCGAGTACCTAGTGGAAATTGCCATCCTTGATATCGAATAATTAGTTTATCAATATTTTTACGGAATGGAGATTGTGTATATATAAAAAACTTATAGAACCAATCACAAGTGAACACGCCACTGTTGAATGCACACTCATGTATATGAAACACTCTACATGTTGTAGGCTTTTACAAACAGCATGTCGAGCAGCAGTCAGCAGATTCAGGCTCGTTTTAAGGATCATATTAGGGTTGTTCATAAGAAGACCCAATCCAACCAAACCGACCAACCTGGACTGACCCAATCTGAATCGGCCGGGTTTTCTTCAGCACCGGTTGGTTCGGGTTGTAAAAAATCATAAGTCGATGGTTCTGGTCGGTTTCAGTTTTCATGTCATTTGGTCGGTTTCAGTTTTTATGTGTGAAAACCGAAACGACCCGAACTAAACCGACTTAGTAGTTAGTTCCTAGTTAGTAGTTACAACCTACTTAGTTCCTACTTAACTAAGTTGTCTCTATCCTATTTACAACATAACTTAATTTCTAGTCTTATAGTTAGGAATGACATTAATGGCAAGTATTGTAAGCCAACTAGACAATGATTTTTTTTGGAAAAGTTTAAAGAAAAGAATCAAAGGATCCTAGTTTCTATGGTCTTTTACACCAAATAGGCAACCAATTACAATTAGAATTAGGTGTCTTTTTTACTTAGATTAGAAGGTTTATTGAAATATACAAATTTCAATCTTCTTTCTCTAATACAGTTTGACTTTCTATTTTCTTGATAACTTCTATTCTAACTTGGTCCACCCCCCTTAGCCCCTCAACTCAATCACAATCTCTAATACAATTTAACTCTCAAGAATCAAAATTTTGAAATTTCAATTTATTACCATGGTTGAACTTAGAGCCAAAACCGACCCAAACTGATCCAACCCGACTCAAACCGACCAGGTCGGTTTTGCTTAACACAGAATCAGTTTCGGTATCAATTTCAGGTAACCCAACTAGGTCGGGTTGGTTGGAAAAATCTCAGTAAACCGACCCAACCTGACCCGTGAACAACCCTAGATCATATATCCAGGTGAACTCGTTTTAGCATAAGTTTTTAATACATCTTTGGTTCACCATATATGCAAGTTCAGCTTCGGTCACTGCAAATTCATGCCCATACCGTCCTCCAAACAGCCTCTTGCAATCTTGTATCGAGAATATCTCCCTATGATTTCATAAAGCACATAAGTAGGGAAATATTCTCAATAGGCTGTTTGAACGGGCATTGCACTGATGGAAGCCGACCTCTCATATAATCGCGTAGAAATCTCCATCTAAATGGATTAAACTCAATACGAGTTCCCAAGTTGAGCCTTAACCAGCCTGCCACTATGGTTTTCAAAACCGGACTGGACCAGACGGTCGGAAAAACCGAGAACTGGTTGACCGGTTCCGTTTTTCCCCAAAACCGTTGATTTTGGTTAGCAAATCGCTGAACTGGCCGGTTAACCATTCGGACCATTCGAACCATTCTAACCGTTTTGACCATTTTTCAAAATTTTTATTTTTTTTTAATTTTTTAATTTTTGTCAGAATGGGCCGACTGTTTGGGTCGAACGGTCAGACCGTTTGAACCGGTAACCGGACCCCTGACCGTTTCAGTTTTAAAAAACATGCCTACAACAATGCGCTAGCCCAATAGCAATAGCAGAGTTCACATCTACGCCCCACAATTTCCCACAACACATTCTGCCGTGTATTAAGAAGCTCCCAATGATGTATAAAAAATGATGATGTCATCATCGGGAGATGTTCCCAATATATGCCAAGGATTTTTTGTGATCACCTTCCCACCAAAAAATTTGTCGTATAGGACATATAGTCCCTCATTGGGCTCCATTTGATAAGAGTGCAAATGGAATATAAATACAAATATGTAGATTGCATTTTAATCATGCAAATGCAAAATTGGTTTAGTTTTGCATCCATAAATTTACTTTCTTACCAAGCGATCTTTAGTTGTAATGAGTGTAAATATAAAACCCAAGATTGAAATACACCTTTTTAACATTAATCAGCTTTGAATGCAAAGTTTTCATATAAACTTTATTCTCATTTTGAATGCAAACATATCTTGAAATTTGTGAAAATTACTACTTTCAATACATAAATGCATTATTACCAAACACCATCAAAAATAAATGAGAGTGCATATATGCACTCAATTGACATCTGAATTCTTCCCAAATGAAACCCTGGGAACATCTTCTCATGAATTTAACATATATGAAGGCTCTACAGTGGCCACCTTACTATTGTCATTGTGGCATATCCAATAAAGATAAGGATTATTATATAAACTTAACTTCACTTTATTCCATTTTTCTTAAATTCATCCTAATTTTTCAAAAGGGTCATTTACTAAACCACTCTCTATAGTTTTGTGAATTTACTAAAACCTATCCTATATTTTGTGTTTTACTAAAGCATCCCCTATAGTTTGCAATCAATTTACTTAATTGACCTTCTATTAGATGAAAGTGGAAAATAACAGTTTTAGTACTAACATCCATTCAAAAAAATTAATCAAAAGAAACTAAAAACAAAAATGCCATTTTTACCCATAGTAAAACACAAACAACCATTATATTTTTCTCTAATTGGTCGATTTTGTTTTCTATACAAAAAAGTGTTAGGGGTACTTTTGGAATAAACAAAACCATGGATCTATACCCTTGAACATTTTCCACTTAGCTTAGGGATACTTTTGGAATAAACAACCATGGGTTAATGCCCTTAAACATTTTCCACTTAGTTTAGGTGATCATGTTACTATTTTCATATGACAACAAATAATTCTTAATGAAAGGTCGATTATTAAGGCTGCATTTGGAATCAATGTAAAAATACACTAATGATGTTTTACACTGAACTAGAAAGTGACTGTTGTTTTTTTTTTGAAAATAGTGATGGGTGGAAGAGTGTAAAGTTTTACATCGATTGTCAATGTAAAACTTTAGAACTGATGAGGTTTTACATCAATTATTGACGTAAAACTAAACTCCATCCAAATGCATGCAAAACTGAACCGGAGTATTTTTTACGTCAATAATAATTACACCCTCTTTCCAAACACATACAAAACCGAACCGATGTAAAATTTTCATCGGATCTTGATTCTAAGTAAATAGGTTACAAACTATAAGAGGTGTTTAAGTAAAATACAAACTATAGGGTAGATTTAAGTAAATCTATAAAACTATAGGGAGTGTTCTAGTAAATGACCCTTTTAAAAACCTCCAAAGAGCTGCAAGTAAAAAATATAGTCATTAGATGAACGATTTTTGTAGATTTACTATGCCACCCTTGTCAGAAATGGACACTTTTTTGAGTTCTTACTTCTTAGGTTAAGATGAACAACTTCCAACCGGTTACCAAACACAACCCTCATCAAAATTGACCTGTCGGGAAACAAGTAAAGGTAGTGCAAAAACTGTCCATTTCTTAATTTTCATTAACGTGGAGTGCAGTGGATAGTTGCAAAAGGCCCTCTCGTTCATCTTAATAGAGAATAGGGAGCTAGCTACAAGATCATCTGGCCTAACTATTGCCCAGGAGAAAAGCCGATTAAGCAACATACAAAAAAAAAGTTGGGGGCCTTGGGGCTATAATTCTTGAATTGGATCTGCTCCTCACCTAGGGCACCTCACACTCACATCCCACCCTGTATTGGGAACATCTCCCCATGAATAATAAATTTAAGGATGGAAGATGTTCCCGATATACGGCCAAACATGCTGTGAAGTCGCAATGTGAGGAGCAGATCTGCCCTCTTAATTCTTATGGGTTACTCACAAGACAGGAAGATGAGCCCGAGATTTTCAATTTGAAGTTCTTATTGCTCATGATTACAAATTATAGATCCATTTGGTTCGCAGTCAGAATCAGAATTGAAATGATCTATTCAGACAAGAATCAAAATTGGAATCAGAATCAACTGGAATACATTCTTATTCTCAAGAGAGGGAAAGAAATGGCCATTCTCTTAAATGAGAGAATGCCATTCCACCAGGAATTTAACGAATTCTGATTCCACCCAACAAATGATTGAAATTTCCAAGTCTGATTCTAGTAGACCCTATTCCCACAAACTGAACCCCTACAGTAAATGGAAAGTTTTACACGGGAATTCATTTTTATTCTATTTTTAAATGTAATATAAAAAATACAAAGCATAAACGCACTCGTCAATCTATCAGAATTAATCTACAATGTAAATGGTTGGAGCTATGTGGTCAGAGCATCAGGGAGAGACGTATAGTTGCCGAGTACCTTGCCACCAACATCAGGAAAATTCTCGTACCCAGGCAAAGGGCCCACCTTTCCGTCAGCTTCCACCTGGATCGGGTACCTGAGAAGGTGGGCACGCATTTCTGTAACCTCCTCAGCTGTAAACTTCTTCCAGTTATCTTCAGCCATACTGTTCACAGTCCTCACACAATCCACACTCTCAGGCTCCAAGAAGCAGTCCTTCACTACACCAAGGTGCTCCACCCAGAGAGACATCCTATAACCGTGTATCTGCATGCATAACCAACAGTTAAAATTTTGTTTTTTGTCTGGATTAACCACAAAGAAAATTGCAATAAGAAAAATTTCCGAGTCCAGTCCATTGATACCTAATCACAATCCATGTGTGATTTAAATTGTTATACTGGCTGGATATCTTGAATTAGCTCAGAATGTATACTATGTTGAAATTAAAACAAACAAAACATAGAAGAAATATTGCCAACCTGACCGCGTGGGCGTTTCTTCACAGCCCATGTGTGATGAGGTTGATAAGCACCCATAGCTATCTCTGTGTCCCTGTTACCAGCCAAAGATCGTTCATTGATATTGGCAGACCCTAAGATGACATACTCATCATCTACTATCATTCCTTTGGCATGTACATAAATCATAAATCGGCGGGATCTTTGGGCAGCTGATGCCTGAAAGAAATCAAGCTCACCATCAAATCTCTTACAAGTGGAACAAGAAAATCATGCTCTGTACATGAAATTCTGTACTCAATTAGGTATCATGTAAATTTAAAATTAATCAAGTACTCAGTAAAAACATATTTACTTCAGTTTACCAACTATGACATTAATATCCAAAACCCAAAAACCTAAAAGATGAAACATTCATTATTAAGGGCAATATCCTCCAGTTTGATGTTAAACGGTTTCAGGTGTGACTACGTCTTGGGTGGAAGTTCATAAGCTACATAATGGTAGATTGAACATGAAACTCTGTTTGCAATGCAAATCTGAACCAGATATAAATTTTGCTTCAGTTTTGCATCTGTTTGATTTTAATTATGGTTTTCACTATTATCTGATGCAAAATTTGTACCTTCTGTCTCATTTTCATTTATCGGCAGTGCAAATTTTTCATCTCAAAAGCTGATGAAAAATTTGCACCACATTCTTTTTTTTTTTTAACCCCAAAATTTACTCAGTGGAGGGGAGGCTTAGATTTGCACCACTCTCCTCCTACCTAAATTCTCACTCAAATAAAGTGGAGACCACATCAATGCAAATAAACTCTATTTGCACTACCATGCATTTATATTGATGCAAATAACATTTGCACTGCATCCAAACAGAGCCTAAAATGTACAATCTCGAACTAAGCAAGCAAATTACATTTCAGATGAAGAGGAAACAACAAACAAATGCAATATGAAAATAAGTGGAGATGCAGTAAGTATAACAGGACGTATCTGTAATGGACTTTGCATAAATTCATGTTTCAACATTCAAATGGTATGCTTAAAACAATTAAGCATATGATCAATATGTCCAATTCAGGAATAATAAAAAGAAGGTACAAACTCATGTCATGTGGTGGCAAATGTACTTGGGCGAAAAAATTATGTAGAACAGAATACATTTTGAGATATAAAAACCCAATGTTTTAACCACCAGAAACTGGATTGGAATATATTGTGTCCCGTTCAAAAGGTTCAACAGCTTAGCAGGCTGTTTGGATGATAAGACCCATTAGTAGGCCCCACCAAGGTTTAGAAGTTTCTCTACAGTGCATCCAATGAAAATTCCCCACCTCCACCTCAAATCTAAACTTCCCATCCAAATCTCCAAAGTATTATGAACCACAAAAAGAACAGTAAAATCATACATAAGATTAGATACACACCTTTGGCAGTCAGTGAAGCATAATATTCCAGTAATTGTTGCTACTCAGTTAGGCAGAACAGGGCTTGGGATGTAACAATCATCCTATGTACCATATTAATACTTTGTTGTGTGATTCAACAAGGAATAATATTATAAACTCCATTCAGCTAGGTGTTTCTGGTTTTCTACTGCATGAAAATTATACACAATGAAGCAGATTTAACTCTGTAGCTGGCCATATGGCAAAAGGCTGAGGTTGAAAATGAAAATTATATGCAATGTCAGAGTGCTTTTCCCCCTTTGGGTGGTAACGCATAAACGTCAGACGTAGAAAATGCCAAAAGACAATATAGGGTTTGGTCAGGCAACTAAATTTTTAACCAGACATCAAGAACAATTCAATCCAAAGTCTGCCAAATTGCAAATTCATAGTTGCTTTTAAGTGGATCTACAGTTGCAAAATCAGAGGCATCTAGCAAGCTAATGCATTAGGACACAAGGGACAATAATAACAACTAAAATTAACAAACAGAGTTGCTATGTGATTACCGTATCACCATTAGTAGAAGCTAGACTACTTGAACCAAGCATATCCTTGGGTAGTTCTTCCCGTTTACCAAGACAATAGAAATTCAGGTAGTCATTAACTTGTGAGTTCTCAAGCTGCACAGATTTTAGTTCCTTTGCAATAATTTCATACATCATTTGCATTGTTTGGCCCTGCAAAAGAAGAGTAAAAAACTACTTTTTAAGTGCCATACCATGTATGAAATAAATAATTTCTATATAAGTTCCTCACAAATATATCTAAGTGATATATACACCAATCCAAACCTAGTTTTTGAAACAAACCATATAGATATTATGATAAATGAAAATGAAATTGATCATTTTCTTTTATCAACACCATACTTTATAGAGTATTTTATTTTTGAGAAAATTTAACCAGAATTCATTAAATGAAGAGGAGGTACATGAGAAGATGTACAAAGCAGGGGAAGAACCCCTACGAATTACAAAGGAGGAAGCTTGTTGCTATACAAATGCTCCAAATACACACCACATTTGGCTAAACCATCCACAGTATGATCGTGTTCCCTAGGAATCCAAACTAATTTTACATTTAAACAGCCCAAAGAATCCCTAGCCTCTGCCAGATAGTGACTCAATCTCCAAGGACCCCCCTCTTTGTCTCTTAACCATTTTATAGTATTTGCTGAATCACCTGCAATGGCTAAATTCTGGATTCCCAATTTTATTATTAACCTGATTCCTGTGAGAGCAGCCATCACTTCAGCCTTTGTAGAATCAGCCAAACCGATTGGACTGCTAAAAGTCCAACATATATTGCCCCTTTCGTCCCTTACTGTACCTCTAATACCAGCTAATCCAGGGTTACCTAAGGCACTTCCATCGAAGTTAAGGGTCATCACTCCTTTTTTTTTATCAATAACAGATTCATTATATTCATTGAAACAGCATAATATTTATAGCAAGGAAGACAAACACTCTTATCTTCCGAATACAACTTAAACCCTCAAAAGAAAGAAAAGGAAAAAAGAAACAGTTAAGTTACAATGTGGCCCAAAACATTGCTTCCCTTTCTATCCCTTGTTTAGCTAATCCATCAGCTATAGAATTAGCTGATCTCTTAACCCAACTCATCCTGATTTCCATCTCCCGCACCAGCCACTTGAATTTCCTCCTCTCATTGCTGTAGTTCCATAAGCCGCAGTCGTCTTTAATCAGCCACCCTATCACCACCTCCGAGTCCCCTTCAATTATGAGTTTTCTAACATTCATCTCCTTGGCTTTCTGAACTCCTTCCATAACTGCCAAGATCTCAGCTCCAAGGGAATCCCCACTCGAATTGGGCTTGAGAACAGGGCAGAAATGATCCCATTCTCATCCCTAAAAACACCTCCAATCCCTGATTGTCCAGGATTCCCCCTACAACTCCCATCAAAATTTAATTTTAAGAAACCAGCAGCTGGGGGGGGGGGCGGTCCAAGACACCCTTATTACTGGTTTGGTCTATGTGCAGTTTGCAATCTCACCCCACTTTCTAAACATGTCATCCACTGTGTAGTCTGTAAATAGCTCTAATGATTTCAGCCACTGTACAGCCCTTATATGGATCACAACCCTCAATTCGTCAGCCCCTATCTCATCTTTTGAGAAGATCCTAGAATTTCTTTCTTCCTATAATGACCAGCATACTGCAGCCCTCAGTCCTCTCCACATAGTCCTTCCCCTTTTCATGCGCCACTTGAAGAAAGAAGGGGAAAAGAGACTGCAAGTCTTATGGAGGATTCCACCTACACCCAAAGAGAGAAAAAACCCACTCCCAAATTGACTTTGCAAATTGACAAGACACCAGTAAGTGAAAACCAGTCTCCCCATCCGCTTTGCAAAGAACACACCAATGAGGTGACAAGCAAGTATTGGGTCTCTTCTTTTGGAGCAAATCACCAGTGTTGAATCTTTCCAGATAGGCTTCCCAACAAAAAACTACCAACCCTAGGAGGAATTGGTCTGCACCAAACCTCATTAACCGAGAAAGGGGAGGTTGTAGGACTGGTGGACTGGCAAAGGACTTTGAAGAAGGAAGCACAAGAAAAAGAGCCCGTGGGGGTAGGGGTCCAAATTCTAGATTCCACCTTAGAGGTGTCTAAGAAAACATTATCAAGAAGTTCAAGGAGGCTCAAAATACTGTCGAGGTCTGAGTCCCTCATAGCCCTCCTCAGACCCAGGTTCCACCCAAACCCAGAACTGGAAGAAGAAGGGGTGAGGAAAGAAGAAATTGGCTCATTTTTAAAATCAGAGAAAGCATACAAAGAAGGAAACTGGTCCTTAAGAGGAGCATTCCCCACCCAAATTTGTTCCTAGAATTTTATGGAATTACTTGAATTCAAATCATACTTGACAAGAGGGGAGAAAACTGGAAGCAAATCATGAATGGCTTTCCAAGGTGAAGTGCTTGTGGTCCTTGCTCTGATTCAAGCATCCCATCCATTTTTCTCCAACCCATGTATGCTTGCCACTATTCTAGCCCATAGCTTCTCCTGCTCCAAAGGAAACCTCCACAACCACTTCCCCAAAAGGGCCGAATTCCTTTTCCGGATGTTCCCAAGCCCCAAACCACCATAATTTTTACTCCTGGTCACCACCTTCCAGCTAACTCTATGGTCCCTCTTCTCCTATCCCGACTCCCAAAGGAAATGTCTCATCAACCTCTCCAACCTACTACAAACCTTCCCTGGAATCTTGAACACTGAAAGGAAATAAATGGGTAAGTTTGCTAACGTGGCCTTGATTAGTGTAGTCCGACCACCCAGAGAGAGGTAATTCTTTTTCCAAGAGACAAGTCTTTTTTTCAAATCTTTCCACCACCGGGTTCCAAAAGCTCTCTCTTAGGATTATCACCTAGGGGCAACCCTAAATAACTCAAAGGCCACCCTGAAACTTCACACCCAAGTACTTCTGCACTCTCCCTAATCTCTCTCTCCTCCAGATTCACACCCACTACACAACTCTTCCCAAAGTTCACCTTCAAATTTGACATTTGCTCAAATAGTTGAATCACTAGTTTCAAGTTCCTGATGAAATTCACATTACCTCCACAAAACAAGATCGTATCATCAACAAACTGTAAGTGAGTGAGTGGGATGTTCTCCCTTCCAACTCTCCAACCTCTAATGAGACCCCTAGAGTCTGCTCTGTGGATCAATTTCCCCAAAACATCAACAACTAGTAAGAACAAAAAAGGAGATAAGGAGTCTCCCTGTCTTATACCCCTAGTGGCTGGGAAGAAATCTACCACTGTCCCATTCACTAGCACTGAATAATGACAATTCCGAACACAGCCCATGATCCATTTGCACCATCTATCCCCAAACCCCATTTTGGTCATAACTTTCCTTAAAAATTCCCAATCAACCATGTCATAAGCCTTCTCTATATCCAACTTACATACCACACCCTTCTTTTTATCCTTCTTGAAACTCTCCACACTCTCATTAGCAATGAGGATTTGATCAGTAATCTGTCTTCCACTTACAAAGGCACCTTGATTTTGTTCAATTGTGTCTGGTAATACCTTCTTCAGTCTCAAAGATAACACCTTTGCAATGATCTTGTACATGTTGTTTACCAGACTGATTGGTCTGAAGTCCCTTGGATGTGAAGCTTCTTTCTTTTTGGAAATTAAAGCTATAAAAGTGGAATTCACCCCCGGATTAACAATTCCTCTCCTATGAAGCTCCTAAAAAACCATTAGAAGGTCTTCTTTCAAAATATCCCAACAGTCTTGATAAAAAGCCATTGTAACCCGTTCGGCCCTGGAGCTTTTGTTCTGTCCATAGAAAACACAACCTCCTTAATCTCTTCCAAGTCAAAGTTCTTTTCCAAACTTCTCCTGTTATCCCCCTACATCTGGCCAGTCCAAACCTTCTACCCACACCCTTCCACTTACAGGCCTTCTTAGAATGGATTTAAAGTGTTCTACACATGCCCCGGCTATCTCCTCTTGTTGAGTTAACTCAATTCCATCCACAACCAATTTGGAAATGAAACTTCTCCTTCTCCTTCCATCTGCCAAAGAATGAAAGTACCTGGTATTTCTGTCTCCCTTTTGCAACCATTTACACCTAGATTTTTGCCTCCAGCTTATTTCCTCCTTATGTAGGCAATCCTCTAACTGTCTTCTCAAGCCCCTTCTTAGTTCATTGTCTTCCTCTCCATATTCTCCCCTTTCTTCTTTAGAGTCAAAGCTTTCAAGTTGGTCCATCAAATCTCTCTTTCTTTCTTCTATTCTCCCAAACTCCAAGATATTCCACTCCTTGATCTTTGCTTTCAAGAATTGTAGTTTCTTATGGAATCTCATCCCCTCCCATTCCACCAATGGGTTACACTCATTCCACCACTCCCTTACTCTATTGGTAAACCCGGGATGGAGTAACCACATATTTTCAAATCTAAAAGGGGCAGGTCCTCCACTCCTCTCTTCCATACATATCACTATGGGCTAATGATCCGAGGTCACCCTAGGTAGAGCTCTAGATGCCAAGTTCCCCCAATGTTCTTCCCAGTCCACAGAAAACAGGAACCTATCCAGCTTAAAACATATGGGTCTAGATTGGAGATTTGACCAAGTAAATGTCTTCTGGGCTAAAGGTATCTCCTTATGCTCAAAGGTATCCACAAACCTGTTAAACTTCCTCATGCTTGTTGTCACCCTCTGATTGGTCTTATTGGTTTCCTCTAGGTATCTGATAACATTGAAGTCTCCACCCACACACCAAGGCCCATCCCATAGCCCTCTTACATCAGCCAACTCCTCCCACAATTCCTCTCTCTCTGTAGTCATTTGGTCCATAGACATTTGTAAACACCCACACATATCCATCCTCCTGCTGTTTGAACTTCATGGAAACCGAGTATTTTCCAATTAGTTCCTCCAAGCCTTCAACCACATCCCTCTTCCACATTGTCATTCTCCCCCCTGAAGCACCCCAAGAGGGAGCAGCCACCCAACTAATGCCCCTGGCTTTCCATACACTCCTTGCCCACCTGTTATTAAACTCCATTCTCTTGGACTCCTGTAACAGTACAATGTTTGGGTCAAACCTTTTTATTACCTCTTTTACTATCGCTCTTTTCCTCACACTTCCTATTCCCCTCACATTCCAACTAAGTATCTTCATACTCACTTCTTTCTT